GGGACGAGTGGCAACTTCCTCCGCCGGATCGCGAGCAGCGCAGCCTCGCATACCATCCCAAGTGGAGATATGTGTCCAAGGTGGAGCTGCATCACGTCTGGCGACAGGAAAATGGTGATCCCCTTCTTGGCAAGCTCATGTATCTGCGCAAGAACTGCCCGACCGGGCAGGAAGGCGGCCGAGTGCTGCGCGACCTTTGTCGCAAGCACAAAGCCTGGTCCGGCCATCATACACCGACACGGGAAGACATGAAACAGCTCTTGCAGCGAACCAACAACGAGACCACCGTCATCACTTGCACGCGACGAGGCGCAGCTCGCGTTAACGGTCTTTGCCTGGACGCTCTGTTCGTGGAGCCCACCGTGCCGGTGCTCGGCAAGATCCCAGCAGATTACGAGGGCAACCCAATCAACTATGACGACGGTGGCAAGCTGCTAGATCGACCACCGCGACCTTTGCCGCTGCCTCTCTACGAAGGTTTGCGCCTGCGGCTGACACGGAACATCGACAAGCCGAACGACTTTGTCAATGGCATGTCTGTCGTTGTTCTGGGCTTTGATAAGCTCCAGCAGTCCATCCTGGTGGAGACCGAGACGAAGCACTGCTTGTGCGTATACCCCATCACCGTGGACGACGTGCCTGGCGGGCGCCTCACCTACTACCCCGTCAAGTTGGGCTACGCAGACACAGTGCACAAGTATCAGGGCGCGGAACTGGCCCACGTAACTTTCTGGCCGGACCGGCCTGGCTGTCCAGCCGCTGGGTACGTTACCCTCTCGCGGGTCCGCCGGGATGCTGACTACCTCCTGGGTGGCTGCATCAAGCCTGAACACTTCGTGCCAGCCCGCTAATTCCACACTACTCTCTTGTCCTACGTGTGGGCGTGCAACGTAGCGCACAATGCCGACAGTTGCCGATCTTGAGCCGCGCACGCCGCAGAAAAAGACGAACCTCCCACAGTATGCAATGCCGCTGCTACGCATATGCATGCGTCAAATCATGTCTAGCTTATAGTTTTAGTCATGTCATTCCATCCGCTGTCGGACCTGTGCATTCCTCAAATGCATGATGGCATTGCCGCCTCTCTGGTCTCGCTGTATGTTGGCCGTCTGCCACCTGGGCTAGCCCACATCTGAGCGTGCACTGTGTTTGCAACTCATGTAGTCCCTTGCTCTCCCGTGTTGCCTTCGTATCGCTGCTTGGGATTTGATTGGCAATTTTTTTTGGCTGGCTTCGGGTTGGCTCGTTTTAAGTAGTGTTTGGGTGGCCTTGGGGTGGGTATGTCTGCACACTACTGCGTCCAGCTGACAGATTCTACACCCTAAACCCTAAACCCTATAAACCCTAAACCCTAAACCCTATAAACCCTAATCCCCTCTCAACAGCCCCCCTAAAAAAGGCTCAACAACATCGCGAAGCTCGGGGCCGAGTCCGTCCGCCTCAAGGAGCCTCGGCCCCCGCCTCTTTTTGGGGTTTAGGGTTTTTGGGGCTTATAGACCCTTTTAGGGTTTAGGGTTTAGGGTTGGGCTTATAGACCCTTTTAGGGTTTAGGGTTTAGGGTTGGGCTTAGAGGACCCTTTTAGGGCTCTTTAGGGGTCTTTTAGGGTCTTTGGGGTTTTAGGGTTTGGGGGATTTGCCCCAAAGGGCTCATGTATGGGCCTCAAATAATGAATGGGTTTAGGGTGTAGGGGTTTAGGGGTTTAGGGGTTTAGGGTTAGCGGCTTTAATGATTAGAGAGTTGTTGTTTTTTTTGGGTGGGTCCTTGTTAAAATTATAGTAGAATGTATGCAGCCCAAGGCTTTTTTCTAATTATTAAGGCCCCAAAGGGTTACCCTGTTGCCCCCTTTTTTTCTGCTTGGTTCATGGTTTAGGATTTTAGGGCTTTTTTGGGTGGTTAGGGTTCTAGGGGTTTTAGGGTTTAGGGTTTTAGGGTTTTTAGGGTTAAACCAAGTAGTAGGAAAAAGGGGGTACCCCTCATTGTTAACTTAGTAGCTGAGGAGGTAACCTTTAACCTTTTGGGGCCTATATAACCCTACTAGAATTTGAAAGGTTAACCTTTTTTGGGCTAGGATACTCAGCCCCTACGTTAAGGGGCTTCTGGGGAACTTAGAGGAGCTCTGGGATGCGCTGCGAAAGATCAACGAGGAAGGACACGAAGGACACTTGGAGCTCGAGGGTTTTGTAAGGCTTTTTGGGGCTTGGGGGGGTTTGGGGGCTTGGGGGGGTTTGGGGGTTTGGGGGTGTAGGGCTTAGGGTCTGTAGGGTTTTCGGCTTTCGGGTTTAAGGGGCTTTAGGGCTTTAGGGCTTCGGGTTTAGGGTGTTTGGCTGGAGGGTTTACGTTGAAGGGCTCAGGGGTGGATGGCTTAGCCTTATGGGTTTTTGGCTTTAGGGTTTAAGGTTTGGGGCTTTGGATCTAAGTTAGTTTAAGCTGTCATAATGGGTGTATAGGGATATGTAGAATCTGGAAGGGCTTCGTCAAGGTTTTCGAAGGACTTGCGATTATCTGGACATCTCGAACAGTAACTAAGTAACATGCTTTCCTTCGCAGGGCAATCCCACGAACGTCCAGAACCCTAAACCCTGAACCCCTAAACCCTAAACCCCTAAACCCAAACCGTCTACAACACAGAACTCAGGAAAAGGCGCCTCCGATGCGAAGAGCGAAGCCTCGACTGCAACGGATTCCGAAGACATGTCCGACATCGAAGCTCTCAGCTCTTCCGATGAGATGGAGCTAGACACTTAGCCTTTAGTGGGTTTAGGCTGTAGGGCTTAGGGTTTAGGGTTTTGGTTTAGGGTTTTTGGAAATTGCTGTGTTATAACACTTTTTTATGGCTTCCCAGTAGGACCCTTTTGCCCCTTTTTTCTTTTCTGGGTTCCCTTATCAAAACCAAAAAGTAGGAAAAAGGGCACCCTTAGCTCTAAGGGGCTACTGGGAAACCAAGCGTTAGTGGTCTTCGGAAATGTTTTTGATTATAACAAAACTCCAACAGATTCAGGAAGTACTAAAGGTCGTGGTTTTCTGTTCTGGTTCTGAAAGGTGCTTAGAAAGTTCTCCAGTACCCAACGTTTAAGTTGTTTGAGCTCTGATGGTTAAGGGTAACCTGGAAGTTTTACTTTGTATGGGTAGTTCTCTAAATTAGGGTCCCCTTTTTAAGTCCACAATATGGTACGGCACCCTCATAGAAAGGACCCAAGAAGGGACCCTACTTTAGAGAACTACCCGTATGTCTGTGGCTTCTTCCTAAAACCCTAAACCCTAAGACCCTAAACCCTAAACCCTTAAACCCCTAAACCCTGTTTTGAATTTGGGGAAGTAAGGAGAAGCTACGCGTGGAGGACTTGGACTCGGATTTGCATGACAATCTGCGGATCCAGGTGGCGGAGCTCACGAAGTTGGGGTTGAGGGTTTAGGGTTTAGGGATCGGGGTTTGGGGGTTTAGGGGTTTAGGTGCCTTTCAGGGATTAGGATTTGGGTTTCAGGCTCAGGATCAGAGAAGAACAACTGTAACTGGGTTCTTGTTAAGAGATTTAATGTAAGTTACCATACTAAGGAAACCGCATTATTTACTATTGATCCCTACTATGGTAACTTAAACTAGATCCCTTAGACAAAGGTAGCCTTAGAAACCCTAAACCCTAAACCCTGCTTCAGAGAAGAACAGAGGTAGCGGAGCTCACGCTCTTCCCGCCTTTGGGCGACACTCCACTGATGGAGGGCCTCTCCTTCAGCCTCTATGCGGGAAAGGAATATACCTTAAAAGGGTTCCTTAAAGGGTCTCTCTATAAGGGAATTAAGGAATATACCTTGAAAAAGGGTTCCTTAAAAGGGTCTCTACGAGGGTCTCTATAAGGGAATTAAGGAATATACTTTAAAAGGGTTCCTTAAAAGGGTCTCTACGAGGGTCTCTTTCTGGGAATTAAGGAATATACCTTAAACTGGGTTCTGGAGTACCATACTTGAATACTTGTTTTTTTTTATGGACCTGTTCCTTAAAGGAACCAATATGGGGAAGATTAGGGTCCCTTTTGGGGGGTCCTTTTTTTTATAAGGGTGCCATACTATATTGGGGACCTAAAAAGGGACCCTCATTTAGAGAACTACCCACATGAAATAAAAGTCTATGCCTTCTTTCTCCCTGGTTACTTCAAAGTCCAGGCCTCTATGCGGGACAGTCTCTGCTCATTGAGGGTGCCAGTGGCTCGGGGAAGAGCTCCCTACTCCGAGCCATCGCGGGTCTTTGGGTAAGTGGGCATGGCAGAATTCGGCGAACGAGGCTTGAGAGATGTTTCTTAGTAGCTGAGTAGGCAATCTTTTTTAACCTTTTGGGGCTTATAGAACCCTAGTACAACTTGAAAGGTTAACCTTTTTTGGGGCTGGGATACTCAGCCCCCTAAGGTTTCTTCGTGCCACAGACGCCCTACATCTGTCTCGGCTCGCTTCAAGACAACCTCCTCTACCCGCGCCGGGAGGGGGTGGAGGAGCCAAGCAGGTCAAGGATCTTCGAGGTGCTGAGACTGGCTCCGATTAAGTTGGGTTTGAGGGTTCCTTTAAAAGGATCTATAAGGGATCTATATTTCCAGGGTTTACAGGGTCCGATCTCTTAGTATAGGGTGTATAGGGCTTATAGGGTTTATAGGGTGTAGGTTTTAGGGGATTAAGTTGGGTTTTAGGGTTTTAGGGTACCTTTAAAGGGAACAATAAGGGTTTATAGGGTTTTAGGGTTTAGGGTTTTAGGGCTTAGGGTTTTAGGGTGAGTAGCTGAGTAGGTAAACTTTATCCCTTTTGGGGTTTATACAACACTGCTGTAAATTAGAAAGGTTAGGCTAGGATACTCAGCCCCTACGATTAAGTTGCCATGCTTTCACGTTCGGGAAGCCCACTAAATTTCTTCCAAATCCCCTTTCCCCTAAACCATAAAACTGTATAAAGCTCTTAAGGTTCTGAAGACAAGCCCAGGAAGCAGCTGAACATCGACCATCTTCCGAAACGCTTTGGCATGGATGAGGAGGTGGACTTGCAGAAGATCCTGTCTGGTGGTGAAGCTGGGTTTTCGTTTAGGAAGCAGTGGTGTATGACGAACGAAGGGTTTAGGGTTTTGGGGGTTTAGGGTTGTAGGTTTTAGGGGTGTTAAATCGGCACAAGCTTAAGTATGTTCCTTCAGCAAGACCAGGAGCCTCCCCCAAACCCGAAACCCTCAACCCTTAAACCCTTAAACCCTAAACCCTTAATCCTAAACCCTTAAACCTTTAACTCTTAACCCTTAACCCTAAGCCCTTAAACCC